ATACAGTAGGCCCCGATACGCCTACAGTATGCCACTGTATGGCTACTGTTTCCTACAGGCAACTACGGTAAACCACAGTATATGCCCCAGTACGCCCCTGTATATGTTCATTGAAGCAAAAAGAAGAAGTTTACACACTCCAAGAGCACTGTACGGTTACCTAAGATGTGGGATTGTCAATTTAGTACACAGAGTAATTTACCTAAGAAATTTTTGAACATTATTTTAAACACATGGTAGTATTTTTTTAAAGTGTTAAGAGACTAATTGTGTTCTTTTATAACTCTGAAATAACTATGAAATATTAATAAATTGTTGCTTCAAAGAATATTTATCTATCAATTTTTAAATTAATTATTTAATTATTCTTTGGTTTGATTTTTTACTTTATTTATTTTGCAAACACCTATTTAATGCTTAAAATACTTGGAGTGACTTTGAACTTTAAAAAAAACATAGCCGGGGTAATGCTGAATTTTGGAAAATTGTAGTTTATAAAATCGATATAGTTTCCTTGAAAAAATAAATAAAATTAATTAAATGAAATTAATCATTTTGAAAACAAATCAATCTATTTCTTGACAAATACAGAGCTGCATAGTAAACTCGGCACAAAATAAATAAGGTGAGGTGGTAAGTGAAAATTTAATAAAATAAATGACTTTAAAAATACAAAATTAATAAATGAACTAATTATTTATCTTATCTATTTATTTGTTTATCAATTTATCTACAAATACATAGATAAACAAAATAAATAAAAATTAATTTATTTATTTTGTAACTGACAAGACAACAAAGTGATTAAATATACACCCCCCAATTGATTTTTTTAGTTTTATTTTTATGTGAAAATCATTTCTCCTAAAATATGCTACAAAGTATTTTTTAAGCATATGAAAACAAATTCCAATAATTTTAAGTTCATGATGGATATCAAAATAATCGTCAGATTATGCACAATATTAATTTGTCAATTGCAATTTCATATTTTTACTTTGTTTTGATTTTTTAAAAAACCGGTATTCAAAATCCTAACACGATTATGAAAGACTTCAAAGCCATTGATTGTTTACAATGGACATGGGGTACACAGTAATGACACCTATTGTCTTTTTCACTGACCACTATACCTTGTTTATTTTGTGACCGAGCGACCGTGTCAACTCTGCGGCTGTATGAATAAACATTTTCTTTTTGTGAGAAAACCGTTTTTTGTCAAACAAAAACAAAATAAAAGTATCAAAAAAGCTATTGGCGGATTAAGATTGTGCATTATGAGACGATTATTTTGATATCCAACACGGAAGTAAAATATTTTAAAGTAGTTTAAAAATGCTTCAAAAAGACTTTGAGAGACATTTTAGCGGAAACTTGTTTACATTAAATAAGCCAAATAAATCCAACTTTCGGGATTATAATCAATTAATTTGCTTGTATCGTCAATTTAAATAATAAATAGATAAATATATTGTTCTTTTTACAATGATAAAATACGTGCTTAAAATCAGTTTTTTTTATTTAATTTAATTTCTAACCATTTAAAAATCTATTATTGAATTTATTTTAGAATTTAAAAATTTTTAAAATGCAGCATTACTCTTGTTGTGGAGGTGTGTGTTTTTGTGTAATTTTTTTTTTTCAAAAAGGTTCAAAATAGCCATTCCAAGTAATTTATGGATTAAAAAGGTGTTAGAGAAATAAATAAATGGTAAATAAATGATTAATTTATCACCATATAAATGTCAAATTTTTTAATTATATTTTTTAAATTGACAATACAACAAAATAATTAATTATTTATATCCCTCAAAAAGAAAATTATTAAGGCTTTTTGTATAAATATTTTTATCCTTAACTATGTTACAAAGTATTTTTTAGCATATAAAAACGAATAGCAGTTATTTTACGTCCATGATAGATATCAAAATAATCGTCAGATGATGCACAATTTTAATTTGTCAATTGCAATTTCATATTTTTACTTTGTTTTGATTTAAAAATCGGTATTCAAAATCCTAACACAATTATGAAAGAACTTCAAAGCCATTGATTGTTTACAAGGGACATGGCCGGGGTTCACGGTAATGACACCTATTGTCTTTTTCACTGACCACAATACCTTGATTATTTTGTGACAGAGAGCGGCCGTGTTCTATCTGAGGCTGTTTGAAATAACATGTTTTCTTTGTGAGAGAACCGGTTTTTTTTCAATCAAAACAAAATAAAAGTATAAGAAAAGCTATTGACGGATTAAGATTGTGCATTATGAGACGATTATTTTGATATCCAACACGGAAGTAAAATAATTAAAAATAGTATCAATATGCTTCAAAAAGACTTTGAGGGACATTTTAGCGGAAACTTGTTTACATTAAATAAGCCAAACAAATCCAACTTTCGGGATTATAATTAATTAATTTGTTTGTATCGTCAATTTTAAAATTAAATAGAAAAATATTTTGTTTCTTTTGACAAATTAAAATTGTGCATCATCTGACTATTATTTTGATATCCATCATGGACGTAAAATAACTGCTATTCGCTTTTATATGCTAAAAAATACTTTGTAACATAGTTTAGGATAAAAATATTTATACAGAAAGCCCTAATAATTTTCTTTTTGAGGGATATATATAATTAATTATTTTGTTGTATTGTCAATTTAGAAAATATAATTTAAAAATTTGACATTTATATGGTGATAAATTAATTATTTATTTCCTTTATTTACCATTTATTTATTTCTCTAACACCTATTTAATCCATAAATTACTTGGAATGGCTATTTTGAACCTTTTTGAAAAAAAAATTACACAAAAACACACACCTTCACAACAAAAGTAATGCTGCATTTTAGAAAATTTTAGATTCTAAAATAAATTCAATAATTGATTTTTAAATAGTTAGAAATTAAATAAATAAAACTGATTTTAAGCACGTATTTTATCATTGTAAAAAGAACAATATATTTATCTATTTATTTTTTAAATTGACGATTCAAGCAAATTAATTATAATCCCGAAAGTTCGATTTATTTGGCTTATTTAATGTAAACAAGTTTCCGCTAAAATGTCTCTCAAAGTCTTTTTGAAGCATTTTTAAACTACTTTTAATTATTTTACTTCCGTGTTGGATATCAAAATAATTGTCTCATAATGCACAATCTTAATCCGCCAATAGCTTTTTTGATACTTTTATTTTGTTATTGTTTGACAAAAACGGATTTCTCACAAAGAGAAAATGTTTATTCAAACAGCCGCGAAGTGGACACGGTTGCTCTCTGTCACAAAATAAACAAGGTATAGTGGTCAGTGAAAAAGACAATAGGTGTCATTACTGTGTACCCCATGTCCCTTGTAAACAATCAATGGCTTTGAAGTTCTTTCATAATCGTGTTAGGGTTTTGAATACCGATTTTTTTTAAAATCAAAACAAAGTAAAAATATGAAATTGCAATTGAAAAATTAATATTGTGCATAATCTGACGATTATTTTGATATCCATCATGAACGTAAAATTATTGGAATTTGTTTTCATATGCTTAAAAAATACTTTGTAGCATATTTTAGGAGAAATGATTTTCACATAGAAATAAAACTAAAAAAATCAATTGGGGGGGGGGGGGGTGTATATTTAATCACTTTGTTGTCTTGTCAGTTACAAAATAAATAAATTAATTTTTATTTCTTTTGTTTATCTATGTATTTGTAGATAAATTGATAAACAAATAAATAGATAAGATAAATAATTAATTCATTTATTAATTTTGTAGTTTTAAAGTCATTATTCAATTTTCACTTACCACCTCGCCTTATTTATTTTGTGCCGAGTTTACTATGCAGCTCTGTATTTGTCAAGAAATAGATTGATTTATCTTTAAAATGATTAATTTCATTTTATTTATTTTATTTAAATAATTAGTTCATTTATTAATTTTGAATTTTTAAAGTCATTTATTTAATTTAATTTTCACTTACTACCTCACCTTATTTATTTTGTGCCGAGTTTACTATGCAGCTCTGTATTTGTCAAGATATAGATTGATTTGTTTTCAAAATGATTAATTTCATTTAATTAATTTTATTTATTTTTTCAAGGAAACTATATCGATTTTAAAAACTGCAATTTTCCAAAATTCAGTATTACCCCGGCCGTGTTCTTTTTTAAAAGTTCAAAGTCACTCCAAGTATTTTATGCATTAAATAGGTGTTTGCAAAATAAATAAATTTAGTAATAAATCAAACCAAAGAATAATTAAATAATTAATTTTAAAAAATTGATAGATAAATATTCTTTGAAGCAACAATTTATTAATATTTCATAGTTATTTCAAAGTTATAAAAAGAACACAATTAGTCTCTTAACACTTAAAAAAAAAATACTACCATGTGTTTAAAATAATGTTCAAAAATTTCTTAGGTAAGTAACTCTGTGTATTAAATTGACAATCCCACATCTTAGGTAACCTTACAGTGCTCTGGGAGTGTGTAAACTTCTTTTTGCTTCAATGAACATATACAGGGGCGTACTGGGGCATATACTGTGGTTTACCGTAGTTGCCTGTAGGAAACAGTAGCCATACAGTGGCATACTGTAGGCGTATCGGGGCCTACTGTATGTAACTGTGGCATGCTGGGGATACATACAGTGGCATACAGAGATTTACTGTATCTACAGAGCTAGCATACCGTAGCATACAGTAGATATACCGTAGATTACTGTGAAAATGCTGTAGGATACAGAGAAAGACAGTGGATTTTCATACGGACAGGGGTTTTAAAAGCCAGTAGTGTAGTCTATGACTGATCTATTATATCATTAACAGGTATAAAACAAAATTAAAATTTCAAAAATAAACTATGAACTTTTTCAACAATTGGCACAGTTATATATATTATGACTGACTTTTATAACAAGGTTTAGAGCATCATTTTTAAAAAAAAATCTATTGGCACTTTTACACATTCTTGGACTGTACTGTAACAACAAACATTTCTTCAATCAAATGGTACAACTGACTTGCATATATTCGTCAAAGCACAACAAACATTTACAATTTTGTCTATTGTTGGTGTAGAACCATTTACAGAAATCAAATAGTCCAAAGGCACGGTATCCTGTAATATTTTATACTTGTTTCGAACAAGTCCAATTACACGTTCCACATGAATCCTCACATTGGCTAACTTTCGCGTGCGCTCCACATCTAAGGCTGATAATTGGGTTCTCCCTTTTGTAAATGCACGAATTTTTAACTCGCAGCTTACTTGTGCAAGAGTTTCTGCTAAGTCAAAACCCCTGTCTGCTAAAACAATGTCCCCATACTCAAGTTTGTCTAGCAATTCACAGTCTCTAGTAATATGTTTGTCAGTTGACCGGCCACCGTACCCTTTACTGATGAAGGATATGACTCCCTGTGGTGATATCCCAATTAAAAACTTGACGGTATTATGGTGCTTATATGATGACCAGGTTTGTGCACGGGCTTCTAAATTGGAAGGCCTTTCAATGAAAAGTTCAAAGCAGTCAATAATTATGGCCACTTTAAGTCCAAAATGCTTTCTGAACCCCATGGGCATTGTTAATCTTCGTTCATCCTGGGTTGGCCAGTAAATCAAGGGATGAAGTTTGCAATGTAAGACATGCAATGTAGAAAGAAAGATCCTAGATATACTTCCTGATGATAACCGGAACTTCTCAGCCAAATAACTCACTGGCAAATTGAGTTTTAAACGCATTAAAACCATCAATAGTTTCTGGAACTTTGACAGAAAACTCTGCTTTCCCTGGGGGATTGCAGACTCAATAAATGAAAACAAAATCATCAAAACGGAAAATGCTGGAAGTCCTGTAAATAGCTTAACTTTCTCATCATCGTCCTTAAATGTGTCTTCTGATATGGTAACACTGGCTAGTTTCTCCCTCAGCTGGATATTTTCAACTGTCAAACGGTTAAGTTCAGAGTTCATAGCACCTATAACATCACTAGTTAAGTCTGTTTGGGTGCATTTCCCGATGTCGGTCTCGGATTCTGTCACATCTGAATCAGAAGCACTGGTAGAACTGGTTGAATCTACACCGACACAAGCCTCTTCACAGAGTTCAGATTCCCGGGCGTCGAACAAAGATATCAAGGACTTAGCAGCTTCCACACACTTAATGCGCCCTTTCCTCTCTTTTAGTCTCTTTCCTCTTGTTAATGTGGGCGTGGCCAGTACTTTCTGGTGTCCAAGGTTTAAAGATGGCCCCCAGTCAAGGTCTGCCTCTCTATAGAGTGGTGCTGGCTTTCCTACAATTGTTTCAAGTTATTAGGAACAGACTGTCCACAGTTTGAACAATAATTGTTTAAACTGGTATTGAAATAACGTTTCATCCAGTTTTAATATCAAATAAAGAACTTTAAGATAACACACAGTCAGGGGTCTCTGTAATCTTTTATGCATACAAATTTTAGCAAGGCATAAAACAAGGGCCAACTTTTTTTGTCTTTTACCACTATTAACTTCTTTCAGTTCCAATTTTTTTGCTAATAATACTACAATATGTAACGATTTAGAATATCTTATCTTTAATATCATTTCTCTTTAATTAATTGTTCACACATTATCTACACTTATTCTATAAATCTTATCTGTATATTAATCGCCCCTCTTATCTAACCCCCTGCTGATCGTAATTACCTGTGTATTGACTCCTGATCTTAAGGATCTTATAATGTGCTCCTGATTGTCAGGAGCGGATCTTAAGTATATATAGCGCGACAGAATGTTAGAATTAGAGATACGAGATATAGAAAGATATGATATAAAAACGAGATTACTGATATGTAGCGATATAGATTTTACATGGATTATTAATTTTGCCTTTGATTTGGATTTTTATGTGATTGTTTACTTGGATTGTATATACTGTGAATTATTTTTCCTGGATGTTTTTATTTGTGACGTGTGGTGTAAATAAACTGTAGAATAGACGAACTTGAGTCTCATTTCAATATATGAGGAGAAATTAACGCTACCAAATAGAGATATTAAAGACTGAGGACAAAATGTGAATACGGCCGCTCGGTCGGCGCTACAAATACCCTTATTTCAGAATACAATGATATATTAAACAATGGGGTGGGGGGGCATTCAATGAACACTTTCAATAATAAATGTTTTGTCTGAAAAAAGTGGGAGGGGTCAGGTCCCCTCCTGTTGTTACATGCCTGTGTATTGTCTAATATTTCATTTTTAAAAAATGTCATTCAAATAACGAGTAAATGACACGTTGTACTAACTAGTAATCTACGAAAGTACAATTTTATAGAATTTTTTTTAATGAGGGCATGTCTAATCCGAGACTACAAAAAAGAATTCATACATTATTATTAGACAAAACCGTTTACCTGATTCAAAATGGTCGGAACAGACTCGTACATAGGGGTAAGACGATGGTGTCAAATCTGCCCTGCTAATACGTGAAAGCCATAATCTCCTCCGTCTCTCGGACATTTCCTGTGTTTTCTCACCATGGTTTGTAATTATGGCGGGTAAACGATAAAACGATACTTTATCCCTCCCCCAAGTGTTCGTACAGCCAATAACAGCACAGTAGTTAACCATTGTTTACATAAGTTTACGCTTCGGCGCTTTTCCCCAGTTTCACCTTAAAGATGGCCGCCGCTATTAAAACCGGAAGATGCCTGACGTCACATAAAAACTATCTATTATTGGTGTGTTGAAAAAAAAAATATCATTTCAATTCAGGTAATGAGAAACTTTTATTTTTTATACAGTGTATCTTCTTTAATTTAATTTCAGACTTGCACACAAATGGGATCACCTGAACTCGAAGCCTTTGATGGATTCATTGAAAGTGTATCATTCGAAAGGTATTTCACGTTATTGATTAATAAACATAAGTTAACATTTTAAGGATAAGATAGAGAAAGTGAGAAAAAATTATTTAGATTGTGGGACATAAATTGTCGGCAGGGTATTCCACTGCGTTCCCATCGTGGCGATAATACATGTGACTACATTTTAAATATGGGGAATTTGGAAAAAAAACTATTGAAGATTTAGATGACCTTAAGGAGCATCTGCAACCATGTAAAGTGTTTACAGTTTTCGAACCGTACATTGTCATGTGTATACAGCCATCTAATGGCTTTAATAACCAGCGTTGTTATGAATCCAGTAACATGACAACATTTGAGGTAATAAATTATATTTTGGAGTAAATCATAACTAAAACTACATAATAATGTTATATAATGGTATATAATACTCAATACACTATTTGTATACAAAAAGAGAAAGGGAAACAACGAAAGCCCGAATTTAAGGAAAAAAATCACCACCGAGGCAGGAAATTCCATACTACATGCCAATGCAAATGTTGACAATGCAATAGAAAGTCTGGAAAACTACATACCTTCCATTGAACAGAGTCAATCGTACTTGTTCAAAAACATAATCGTAAAAGAAATTGATGGGGTTAAATATCTTACAACTACCTCAGAAAAGAAATCTCAAGCATTATTGACATGGGTGAAGTTAGAAAGTTATGAATCGGGAAATTGTGATGTCCACATGAGTATTCCGTCATAAATACGTAAAAGATGTGCCAAAACTGCAAAGATAAAATCCCAGATACTTTACTAACAGACACATCGTTTAAATGTCCGCACTACCAGATTATGAACGGAAAACAAACAAGCATCAATATTATTCTTTAATTGACACTTAAACGTGAGAGCAATCCGACTTTGTCCATTGTTGTCAATGATTTTGCAAGACATTTCTTCATCTCCATTGGTAAATAAAATGAACATAAAACAAATCTGCTGGAGGAGAATATACTCACCCTTGCCCTAGAAGTTAAGTTACCCTCAATTAATATTTATGGTTGAAACTCATAAACGCAGCGACATTATCTAACAAATCAAATCCTTACAGAGGTTATAAATATGTAAGTTGACCTTCAAAGAATTGGGATTTGTGTTATTTTAAATATAGCCCTGTAAAATGTCTGTTTTCTGAGAGGAATAATTAAATTTTGTCAAGAGTTATTTAACCCTTGTGTAACTCGTTTTTGCTTCCTGTGAAATATAGTGTTTGCGGAAGCAGAAGACGATCAGAAATGGTTTTCCGCTTTACGTAACATTACCGATTCAAATTGTTCGGAGGATTTAATCAATTTTCATTTTGCAGATGTCCATAACATGCACGTTATTCTAACAGAAAGTTGTCTTTTGTCAGAATAATTTGACAATTTGGATATATGTTACACACATTTTAATATTTGTTGCAATGCAACACTGATGTGAGAAAGCAAAAACATGCCAAGTGTCCTTGTTAATATTTCACACGAATCCAGCATATTGTCAACACTAGATTGACAGCTCAAATTATATAGTAAAAATCTGCACAGCTATAACACTTTACACGTAATGCTAGACTTAATCGACTTTCAATGAAAAATAGCAGCAAAAACTAACATCATGGATGACGATTTCCAGATTCCGTGAAACAAAGGAGCCTTATCACAGATAGATGATTTGGATTTAACAATCCGTTTACAGGACGCAAATGCTACATACAACCGAGCTACACAAAATGGATTGCTGAAATCCTTAAAACGTAAAGAAAGCCTCGACCTTTCTAAAAAAAAAGGTGAGAGTTTAATTCACGGCAACAGGACCGGGTATTACCCTACTTGGTATAACGTAAATACAAAGTATTTCCTTCACTTACCTAATCAGCAGGAGGAGCCTAAATTCAGACGTTTCTGGAAAGACCAGAACGACGCCATCCAAAAACAAGCCTCGCAGAAGGTTATAGACTTCCATGAAAACCAAATAAAGGAAAAGGAAAATGAAGCCAACAGGGCTGAGAACATTAAGCGTGTAGTTTTTGCTACTGAGGAAATTACTGATTCATTTGTTTCGGTATTGTCATACAATAAACCCACTAGTTTATATTATGTATCATTCTTTAATTAGTTCCGACATTTCAAAATGCGCATACTCTCACTCAAGAAACACAGACCACTCAAAATAGACTTACCGGTACCAATGAAAAAGGATGAGGATATATCCTGTAAGCAGGAACAAAGTATGGTTCCTGATTCAGAAGATGAGGATTATTATGTTTGATGACCCGGCACTCACAAACATTGTGTCAAAAACTGTCAACAAGTTTGACCTTGAATAACATAAAAGACTAAAAATTCCATTAGCCGTGAAGGAATGTCGTACGCCATAACCTCAGGGAAAAAACTACCTTCAGACATGAAATGGCAGTTGGAATGTAGCCCTTATCTAGGGGATCCCGAGCTTACAAAATCCTTAAAGAAGTTTGGGACAATTAAAACCCAGCCCATGAAGGAAGAATTTCTAAAATCATCAGTTGATTTTTTGGATAATCAAATCAACGACCAGTTCAGGGAAATCCGGGAAGAGGCGTTATGTATGAGAAGAAAAACAACTCCCGCTGCATGTTGGGCTAAAGGCGAACTTAACAACAAAACTAGAGAGTCGAATGAGAAATTCGACCAACTCCTGTTGGAATTTAAGAAGAACATCAAATCGAAAAGGAGCACAGTCAATCATTAACCGTATTGAGTCCGTGAGACATATCCACCCTGGAAAGAAAGGAACAGAAATTCCGTCCGTACTAAATTCTTTCATAATTTTGTGACTGACTAACTTCTCGTTTCAGTTTGTACACATGAAATGATAAAACTACATTTTTGTTTCGATTTGGATGAATTAAAGAGGTAAACAAGCTTGCAATATATTTTTTGATAACTAAAAATTTTTTTGGTCTGTTTGTCATACGCAATGGGGTTTTATGTAGCACGTAACCTATCACGTGCGCTGGTTCTTAACGACGTTCGATCCTGATATTTATAGTCTTAAACTTTTTTTGCCAAGTATATTTTTAGTTTCTACATACATAGCTTAATTAAAATTCAAATCAAAAAATGGGGGTCAATATGTTTCTTTTAGCCCTACAGTAAATTTAATATGACCTTTCTGCACTGAAATCTGTATCTTAATTAAAATTTTCATCTTCAACGTTTTCCATCCAATATTTTTATCCAATGAAAGCATGAAACAAAATGAACTTTAAGTCTGTTTAAAAAAAGAAACTTACAAATTGTGACTAATAAAAAGTTTCAAATTACTTTGCATTATCAATTATTTGACCTTTCTGCGCTAATGACATGTTATTTTTCCGGCATTGAAAATATAATAAGCAAGAAAATTATTTTAAAGTCTTAAACTTTTTTCTGATTTTAAGCACACAGGTCAAAGTTACCTCTAATATTTAGAAAAGAACATCAAAACTGGGGGTATATGATGTTATTCTTCAGATATTACTAAAAGGGTGTGAATTTTACGTTTAAATTTGCTTAATTTTTTCTCGGATTTTCAGAATATATTCGCTATATGTGTCACACTTTGCTGATAAAATTCGTAAGAAATAATTTAATAGATATTTCAAAACCAGCATAACATATTTCACTGCAAAAATTAGCTTTGTTTGCAACCAGCATGGAAAAATAGGCATCCGAAATTAAGAGTACTGCTATAGTTCAAATGGAAAAAACCTGACCATTTTCGTCTAAAAACCTTCCGCCACAAAATATAGTCCATAGCTTAATTCTACTTGAATGAAATTTAATCGCGTTTTTTCATTGAATATAGTTTAATTTGTATTGTAGAATTAAGTTTTATAATTAGAACCTAAAAATGATGCTTAATTTTATAAAAAAGGACCAGCGCGAAATACGATCAAGATATCAGGATCGACCGTCCTTAAATACATTAATATCAGAATGGCACGTCGTTTTAATCGCAACGCAAAACCAAACCGCGAATTGCGCAGGGCTAATGATAAAAAATCCCATAAAGAAAGAAGAGAGAAAACAAAAGTCCTCTTAGCTCAGGAACATGTATTTAATCTCACATGGGACAAATTGGCTGATGAAGAATATCTTTTGCAGGCGATAGGACTAAAATTCATTCCCTCGCCTAGTTTAGGCAACTCCAAAAATTCACTCATAAGAGATTTCAATGAATTTTCTAGAAAACTGATATGCTGATACAAGTTCTGTTGATGTTTTATGTATTTCTGTTATGTCACAAATTTGTCTTCGTACTTGTGTTTTATGCGCATGCTCAGTCTTATATAAATTCATGTCTTCCGTCAGCTTGTTGTCTGTCTCTAACTTCAGTCTAAGTCAATTACTGGTCATTATCAACATGGTGGCAGCGGAGAAAGTAGTTTGGCAGAACTGAAACAACTTATTTTGATTACGTTTTATACTTGAAACGTGTAAGTATCAGTGAAATTGATACAAATAACCACTCCACGTGTGACCGATAAAAAAGTATGGCGCCCCCTGACGAGAATGAGGAAGCCGCATAAGAGCAACAAGCTACTCCGAGAGCTTTGATTAATCCAAACTCACGATTACCATCGGAATTAAACCTTCTTTCTGGTGATGTGTCGGAAAACTATAAGTCTTGGAAACGACAAGTACAAAGAACCACGTACTCTAACTCTTGATTCCCGCCTACATTTTGCACCCTTCAAATTCAATTTCAATGGCAATTTGGCCATTAAATCTTGGTTTAGTACAAA